TTTTTTTTTTGGTACCAGGGATTGAACTCAGGTCCTTGTGCTTGCATAGCAGGCGGAGAAACCACTGAGCTAAATCCCCTGCCCAATTTTATAATTTTTTTAAAAAGTAGGGTTAGGGATGTAGTTCAGTGGTAGAGCACTTGCCTAGTATGTGTAAGGCCGAGTTCAGTCCCCAGGACTGCTAAAAATAAATAAATAAATAAAATAGGTATAATCCCAGCACTCTGAGAGGCTGAGCCAGAAGGACTGTAAGTCTGAGCCTGGGATGGGCAACTTAGCAACTTAGGGAGACCCTGTCCAAAATGAAAAACGGGCTGATGATGTAGCTCAGTGATGTGTTCAATTCTCAGTACAAAAAATAAAAAAGTAAAAATTAAGAACACCCAAAGGAAAAGCGTAGGGGCTCAGGACAGGACGGGCCCACTCCGCCCCCACCTGGCCCCTGCCGTGTCCTGGAGCTGTCCCAGCCCTTCCACCCCAACCCACTTCCTGTGCACAGCAACTCAATGAGGTTGGCACCCTTTTGTACCTGTTTACAGAAGAGGAAACTGAGGCATGGAGGCTGACACACCCAAGGCCCCACCCTAGGTACCTCACCTGCAAGCCCAGCCGGGCCTGGGGCCTGGGTCTGCCGGTCACTGCCAGAGTCCCCTGCTGCCTCCCCAAGCACAGCCCGTCCTCAGCCCTCCCCTCACACAGGTGGACCGACAGACAGAGTTGGTCTCCAGGGGCCTCCTGGCCTCTGTCCTGGTCTGCTTCTGTCCCCTGAGTCCCCAGCCCTAGCTGACGCTTATTAGACCCCTACTGTATACAAGCCACCCCTCTGAGTCCCCAGGAACCTAAGAGAAAGCTTATTGTTTTCACTGTACAGATGGGAAAATCCAGGCATGGACATTGTCCGAGGTCACACAGCTAGCCAGGGGCAAAGCCAATCTTGGGACCTCAGAGCCCGCCCCTTTCTGCTGGTGTCTAAGGGTCAGGGTGGTTGGTTCTTTGGGCGATCCAACACATGTGTGCCGAGTGAGTAAATCCCCAGTGGACCACAAGAATAGAAAGAACGAAGAGCACCAGGCAGAAGGGGGAACTCTGCTGCCAGCTCAGCTACCAGTGAACTCAGACTGAGGTCGCCTCTCTCTGGGCCTGTT